GCTGAGCCATCTCTCCAGGTCTAACAAACAATAATAAATACTTTAAAACAAAAAAAAAAAAATTAAAAGCTGCTTGGGAAAAGGAATATAGGTGATATATAAGGCATATACCAGGGTAAGACATAGATTTGCTTGTTTACCTTTTGAGATCTAGTGATTTTTTTTTTAAGATTAATTATATATTCCGTGTTCTGCCTGCATGTATCCCTGCAGGCCAGAAGAGGGCACCAAATCTCATTACAGATGGTTGTGAGCACATGTAGTTGTTGGGACTTGAACTCAGGACCTTTGGAAGAGCAAGCAAAGCTCTTAACCACTGAGCCATCTCTCCAGCCCCTAGTGATTTCTTTAAGAGTCCTACTAATGAATTTTTTTTACTAGAGACTTTTTCCCTCTCATGTCACACCACTGTGGTGGTGGGTGAGTTCCTATTGCTTGGGATATGTTTTTGATTTAGACATGGAAGGGTAGTACCCGTGTGGTATATTTAGATGACTGTTGAGGACTGTTGAGTCCTCAGAGGTAGAGGCCACGGGTAGAGGTAGATATTGAGATGCTGAATTGCTCTTTTGTTTTTCAGGGTCCCAAAAAGGTGGGGATGCTGTGGCGAGAGGCTGGTCTGAGCTGGAGGGAATTTCTAGCAGAAGGCCAAGACATTAATTCATTTGTGACTGAACAGGTTTGAGACTAGTTTGTTCTGCATTTGGGGCTAGCTTTTCGCATCTTTTCCTCCTCTTTACTCTGTAGTCTTGCTTGACCTTGGTTGTTGGTTATTTGCTTTTAGAAGGTGGAATATACCTTGGGAGAAGAGTCTGAAGCTCCTGGCCAGAGGGCACTTGCCTTTGAGGAGCTGCGTAGGCAGCTGGAGAAGCTGCTGAAGGAGGGCAGCAGTAACCAGCGGGTGTTTGACTGGATAGAGGTATATTCTCCTGGAAAACGGGAAGTAGAGGTAGTCTTTAAAGATGGGATGTTTTGGGAGGTGACAGGAGTGGGTACTTGGAGGCATAATTTAGAACTTAGGAGCCTTTGTTTTTCTGCACAGGCCAACCTGAATGAGCAGCAGATAGCATCCAATACATTAGTTCGAGCCCTCATGACGGCTGTCTGTCATTCTGCAATTATCTGTAAGGAGCGACGGAGAGGCAAATGGAGGGAGAGGGGTTTTGATCTTGGCCTTCTGGGGCTAAGCCTGGTGAAGTCTGCAGTATTACATTTATCCTTGTCTTTCCCTGTAGTTGAGACTCCTCTCCGAGTGGATGTCACAGTGTTGAAACTGCGAGCGAGACTGCTGCAGAAATACTTGTGTGATGAACAGAAGGAGCTACAAGCACTCTACGCCCTCCAGGCCCTTGTAGTGACCTTAGAACAGCCTGCCAGTAAGAGCCAGGCTGCAGGGATGGGTGGGGCAAGGGGACTGCCAGATAGAAGAGGGTGGTCATGGAAGGTACTCAACCTAAGAAAGGTGGGTAAAGAACAAAATGACCCTACCCAATGCATGTTTTCTTGCCTGCAAATGGAATGAGTTAATCTAAGCCTTGAGGTTTGATAGCCTGTCTTGACCTACAGGTGACAGCAGCACAGAGGGGATTAACAGTATCTTTCAGACATGGTGTGCCACTGTGTCTGGCACAGATCTGAAATGCTTGGCTTACCTTGCCTTCTTACCTCATAGCCTTTGTGGGTTTCTGTCCTTTTTCCACACTGGAAGACCGAGGTTTATAAATTCAGCACGTGGGTATGTTCAGGTGTTTAGGTAACTCGTGAGGAAATAGAGCATAGTTCTGTGCTGGCCTCGAGTCAGTGTGTTAGAAGATTAGTCTGAGAGGTTGGAATTGTTTGACTGACAGTGAGCAGGCAGGCCCTGAGTTGGAATAAAAGAACTGCTGGAGGAAGAGTAGTTGGGACAGAGGGACTGGAGGCAGGGCAGGTATGTCAGGCCATGTACGTAGTGGCAGGGGCTTTGCTTTGAGTGAAATAAGGCTTTTTGTAGGATTGTAAGCAAAGGATTAGCTGAGCATGATGCCACACCCTGTGATCCTCACACCAGAGGCCCGCCTTTGCTGATTAGGTCATTTCAGAGAATTCCCACCCTAACACTCTGGCTTTCTGGAGACAGAAAGGTAGGTCTGTGAGTGCAAGACAGTCAGGGCTATAAACAAAACACCAAAACAGCACTTGAAGCATAGTATCTTTAAAATATCATCAGTTAGTTGTTTAATTCCACTTTACAGTGGGAGAGGATTAAGGTTTTTTTGTTTAGAAAGGAGCTGCTGAGGATAATGGGATTGCCTCAAGAGGAACAAGAACACTGGGGAAATGAAGACACACAGGGCAGGGCCGTGTGAGCAAAGGAAAAAATTTGGTATAGGGAAGTGTTTGAAAATGATGAATGCTACAGAGTTTGGTAGGAGCCTATCTAAAAATTTGGACTATAGGATAGTGAAAGATCGCTAGATAGCTTTTGTTGTTGTTTGGTTTTTTGAAACGGTTTCTCTGTAGCTTTGAAGTCTGTCCTGGAACTATTGACCAGGCTGGCCTCAATCAGAGATCTGCCTGCCTCTGCCTCCAAAGTGCGGGGACTGAAAGGCATGCCCCACCACCACCCAGCGAAAGATAACTTTTATGTTTAAATTAGACAAAAGTAGATGAGCAATTGCATAGGTCCTCAGATTGTACACGGGCTGTAGAGCACAAATGTGGGAATGAGTGAAGGGTTAGCTGTGCCACGGCAGGTGGGATGGTCAGAGGAATAAGTGAAGGGTTAGCTGTGCACAACAGGTGGAATGGTCAGAGGAATAAGTGAAGGGTTAGCTGTGTACAGCAGGTGGATGGTCAGAGGAATAAGTGAAGGGTTAGCTGTGCACAGCAGGTGGATGGTCAGAGGAATAAGTGAAGGGTTAGCTGTGCCACAGCAGGTGGAATGGTCAGAGGAATGGCCTAGCTTCTCATAGCTGGTAAGCCATTACTGATATGGTGCTGGACATGTTGTCCTTGTGCTTTGTTCAGTTGCTGCAGTGTGCACTGTGGCAAGGAAGGTGTTCTTGATGGCCAGAGACAAGGCTCAGGCAGTACCTGTGAACTCTGACAGTGAGCACTCCCTAGAGGCCAGAACAAGGTCATGGGTGTTTGTCAGGGTTGGGCGCAGATCTTAAGTCATCTGGACTGGCCTCAGACTAGTGATGTAGTTTAGGCTTGCCTTAGCATTTGAACCTCGCTTGCCTCTGTATCCCAAGTAATGAGCAGTTGTGGACCCCATACCTTACATTTTTCCTTTCTTTTCTCTCCTTGGACTCTACATTTGGTGTTAGCCGAAAAGTGGAGAATTGATTATTCTTTCCCCTTCCTTTTTCTCTCTTGAGATATGGTCTTACTGTAGAATTAGCTGGTTTAGAACAATCTATACTAGCCTAAAACGCAAAAATCTGCTTGCCTCTGCCTCCTGAGTTTTGGGACTAAAGACGTGCGCCACCATACCTGGCCTCATTTTTTCCCGTTTTCAGGCAGTTTTGCTAAGCTACTAGAACTGGCCCTGAACTTTTGATCCTTGGATCTTTCTGCCTCAGCCTTTTTTGGGGTTACATGCCTTTTTGTTTTGTTTTCCCCCACTCCCCTTCCTTTCTCCCCTCTTACATGCCTGTTCCTAAGGATTGCTGCTGGCCAAGTAACTCATTCTTATTCTGGTAGCCTCTTTGTCATGAAATTAGCATTCTGTCAGGCCTAGTCACTCTGGATACCAGGATGGTAGGTCAGGGCTTAGTTTTACAGTGTCTCTTTGGGAGGGATCTCTGGGTACAGACTAGTCACCTAATTGATGTCTTTGTGGCTTGCAGACCTGCTTCGAATGTTCTTTGATGCTCTGTATGATGAGGACGTGGTGAAGGAAGATGCTTTCTACAGCTGGGAGAGCAGCAAGGACCCTGCTGAACAGCAGGGCAAGGGTGTGGCCCTTAAGTCTGTCACAGCCTTCTTCAATTGGCTTCGTGAGGCTGAGGAGGAGGAGTCTGATCACAACTGATGGCGGGTGGGGCCGGGGACTTGGAGCCATGGACACGTGGATGGCCCAGCCAGCCAGCCGCCTGGACTGCAGGGGGGCAGCGGCAGCAGTGGCGGCAGTGGCAGTGGGTGCCTGTAGTGCGATGTGTCTGAGCTAATAAAGTGACTGATGAGGCAGGATGGCTTGGGGCTGCCTGGGGCCCCCCTCCAGGATGCTGCCAAGTGTCCCTCTCCTCCCCCCGGGGCACAGAGATATATATAAAGTCTTGAAATTTGGTGTGTCTTTCCAGGGGGGGAGGGGCACTACCGCCTGCCTCTAGGGTCCTTTTTTATTTTCTGAAATCACTCTTGGGACTGCCGTCCTCGCTGCTGGGGGCATATGCCCCAGCCCCTGCACCACCCCTGCTGCTGCCTGGGCAGGGGAAAGGGGGGGCACGGTGCCTGTAATTATTAAACATGAATTCAATTAATTTCACTGCCTCTTTACTGCTCTGCCACCTTGGAGGAGTATGGAAAGATGGACATCGTTCTTTTCAGACTTGGCATTTTATCAGTGTTGGTACCTGTCTCTTTCCCGGTCAATGATTGGCGGGCGGGGGGGGGGTGGACCCAAGGAATTGGGCTTGTTTTGTTTTTTTGGTGTTTTTTGTTTTGTTTTCTTGGGTTTTTTTTTTTTTTTTTTTTTTTGAGGATTGGGCTCTTACTGGTTTGACGTGGGAGATTAGTGCTGTAGAATACTTACTGCTAACAGGGTGATTCTTGCCCTGGGTTTGAGGCCCTTACAGCTATAGAAGCTATAAAGGGGATGTCCTATGTAAAATGACCGCATGGCCTACCGGCTTTTCCTCCTGTGTGACTCCGCAGTAGACTGGAGATGCAGGCTGTTTGAAGACCTAGGCTGCTACTGAGTGGCTGTGACGTATGCTTGCCCCGCCTGCTCTGGGTGGGCACGGCCCCGCGCTTACGTCACCGGCCCTGTTCCCCTCTCCCGGGAGCGGCAGCAGACGCGCTGCTCCCACCCCCTCCCCTTCTCACAGGCTGTCCCCTCCCTGGTGGTGACCGCTGCCCGACCCTCTGCAAGGCGATGGCCCGGGTCCCAAGCGCGGGCTAGCGATCCTGGGTGCTCTGCCATGGGCTATATTGGCTCTCGGCGCCCAGCCGGTCAGGGTAAGAGACGGAGGCCGGAGCATGGACAGGGAGTCGGGCAACACAGCCGCCCGGTGGGGCCGTGGGTGGTAGGGGCCGTGAGGAGGGGGCTGGTATAGGAGAGGGAGGAGCCTGCGCCAGGGAGGCGGTTCGGGCCAGATGAGCGAACCGGGAGGGGGCTAACCGACTCTGGCTTGTTTCTGTGGCCTGCCTTTGGGTTTTTCCGTGCTATATTCACCTTCGGTCTGGATTCCTTCTGCTGAGGGTGGCTGCAGGGGCACAGCTTAGGATTCGCTGGGCAACCTGCGGCCACCACCTTCCTGGCTCCTGGCAGCTAGCCTTTTGTATCTACATACTCCTTTCTGCCTACACCAACCTCTCATCACTTAGGAGTGGCTCTTTGCTGTGAACCTGCCTCTCCCAGCTGGGTGCTGTCATCCTCAGGAGTCAGCCTACAAATACTGGCCAAGTACCCTTCCACGGAGTTTTTAACCTAACACTTGCTCCTGGCTTAAGAACCAGCTGGTTGATTAAAGGGGACTGAAGCCCCATGTGGAGCACCTGTGAGCAAACTGATAAACCCTCGTGCTCACAGATCATTTTATTCCGATCAACCCTCTCCCCCAAATTACCCTTACTCTGCGGGGAAAGGTCCAGACAGCCAGCCCCTGCTCAGGCCGTGGTTTCCCTGTAGACACGTGGGTGCCCTGCTTTAGCTCTCAGCGTCTGAGGTCTGCCAGCTTACCTTACTTCTATGTCAAGGAATGGTCAGTCACAAAGCATTGGTGTGGTTGATATTTGAGGTGTTTTACAACTAAATTCGGGCTGAGATTTGTACTGCCCTTAATGAATTCTGGGATTCGTAGTCCCAGGATTAACCTCGTGGGTTATGAATTTGAGAAGCAGTAGGGTGCAGTGATTTCCCTGGTCTTCTTGGAGTTCAGAAAGTCATCCCCTTCTGTAGTCAGGAAAGTTTGCCTGACCTCAGGCCTAGCTTTGAGAGCCCTGATTAGGTACCAACGGGGGGTCAGGGATAGCCAGTAACCTGTCTTCTTTCTGGTTGGTAGCATTTCTGGGGACCACTACCCGACTGAAGCTCAGGGACAGAGCCGACTGCTCCAGTTAAAAGGTTAGTTGCTAAGTACATGGCCAGTGGGCACCGTGTAAGCTAAGGATGAGCTGCAGCTCCACAAGCCCCAGAGAACTTGGCTAGGCCCCTGGCACTCCCACTTCCTTAAAGCTATGAGACAGGCAGGAGTGTTCTCCTTATGTGACTAGGCACAAGTTCCAAGTGGGGAGGGGACTGGCTCAGCATCCGGAGCCAAAACAAGAATAGAACTGGGAGCTGAGCCTGAAGCAGTTCGGGCTTTGGGTTCTCTGCATCAACACAGCCAGCATGCCTATGATTTCTGTGCTGGGCAAAATGTTTTTGTGGCAGCGCGAAGGGCCTGGAGGAAGATGGACTTGTCAGACAAGTCGCAGAGGTGAGACCAGAGGCCATGGATGGATGCGATCTGGGAGGTGAAGGGAAGCTGAGGAAGGCACACCAGATTCTATACCGAGAGGAAAATCACTGTGGTGTAGAGATTGGGAACCAGGCTGAAGTAGGAAGATTCAGGCTGGGGCTTTTAGGAAATGGCTTACAAGGGTGAAAACTTAAAAAAAAAAAAACAAACAAACAAAAAACCGACAGGTTTGTTGGGAAAGAATAGTGATAGAGCAGTTGAGGTTGGTGAGAGGAAAGAACCAAGGGTGTCGGAGGGGAGAAGGAAAATGAGAGATGGGCAGTGTTGGTGGGAGAATTTCATGTACTTTCCAAAGGCTGAGAGATGCGGAAGATTCAGAATTTAACCACGTTTGGGCTTCTCCTTACGTTTTGATGGCAAAATATTTGTAGAGGAAGGCGTTCATTGGATTGCCACAAAAGGGCCCCAAATCAGAGCTGTGGGGGGGACATGGTGGCCTCAGATTGTCTGGGAGAGGGGGAGGGTGGTAAAAATGACATGGCAACATGATGAAAATGGGAATCTTGGTAGAAGTGGGGAATCCAGATGGACACCTTTTCCTCCGACTCCTCAGTGGCTTCGGACCCTGCCTGGGCTGTGGAGTGGATCGAACTCCCTCGAGGTCTTTCTCTGTCTTCCTTGGGATCTGCTCGGACTCTCCGAGGCTGGAGCCGGTCCCCTCGTCCTTCTTCCGTAGACAGCCAGGACTTGCCAGAGGTGCTGGGCCTTTTCTGTGCGTGTATGTGTGTGTGTGTGTGTGCCGGGGGCGGGGTTCACATTTAGGGTTCGTGTGACCCCTCCCCGTTCCTGTCTCACCATCCTGCTTGGACTCTTTTTCCTGCAAGCGGAGGCGCTATCCGGCAGGCCGCCCCCGCGCCGGTCTGCTCTGCTCGGCTTGGTTCCAGCGGGCTGGCTTGCTAGCGCCTTCGGTGCTGACGTCAGCGCATCCCAGGCCGTATCCCGGGAGACCCTGTTGCATGGTGATGGGTTGCCACGGAGATATACACCTTTTCTCTGGGCCAGGGCCGCAGCTGCGCGGAGCGTCGCCCTGCATGGATGGCAGCGGCTGGGGGAAGCGAGGGAAGGGAGGGAGAGCGAGCCAGGAAACACCCGGCAGGTTCTCCTTCCCACAGGCCTGGCCAGAGGCTATCGGCGCCAATCTGGAGGCCCTGTCAGCCAGGTATTGAAGGAGAGGGTCGGACTGATGGGCCTGAGGCCTCTTGTGCCAGGTGGAACCAACCATGATGGAGAAGAATTAGGTAATGCTGGGAAGGGGGTGTGCGCATAAATTATTTTCAGCAAAGAAAAGCATTTGCTGGGGCTTGTCGAGGAGTATTAAATCAGGTACAGGATGGAGTTAGGAGCCCGGATGGATTAAACTCTGACGCTGCCATCTCCTGCTCCCTTGGGAGCACCACAAAGGCAGTATGGAATCGAGCAGCGGGCATCTGGGGCTGGGGGTGTCAAAGAAAAAAAAGTAAGTCTATTATGAAGTGACACTTGTGGCCTTAAATGATAGGGCGCGTTTTGCGTGGCAAGGATGGCCCTCTTGGCCTAAAAAGCTAGTTCCTGTCCCAGGAGGCAGGCAGGCTGCTTGTTGACAGGGAAGGCAGGGGAGCCGGATAGTATTGGTCAGAAATGAGTGATGGATTCCCTATGGAGTCCTTAAGTGCCTGAGTAACAGAGGGAGAGCCTGGAAAAGACAATATTATTTCTTTAAAAAAAATCTTTAAAAATTTTAAATTATTTTTATGTGTATGCGTCTGCTTATGGATGTGTCCTGGAGCCTAGAGGTGTTGGATCTCCTGGAGCTGGATTAGCAGGTGGTTGTGAGCTGCCTGGTGTGGGAGTTGGGAACCACACCTGGGTCCTCTGTAAGAGCAGCAAATGCTCTTAACCACGGAGTCGTTTCTCCATCTCTCTAAAGAGTTTTTTTTTTCCCCTAAAACACACACAACCAAAAATCAATTTTTAAGATTAAATTTTACTTAGCATACAAACTATTAGCTTTGATTATGGCATGTTCATGCAGCACATGCATCACTGTACAGAATCTGAAGTGACATTTTGGTTCACTGTATTCTTGGGAAACTGCGTTTATACCTTGTCTGTTCATTCAGCCCATACATTTACTTATTCCCAGGTACGTTTAAACACTGAGATGACTCAGTGACCATAACAGACTGAATTCCTCAATGCCAACAAAGAAAATCCTATTTACACCTGGCAAGCTGGCTCTGTTAATGGTACATTGATAGAAAACAATGATTAATTGGAGACCACAGTTAGAGGGCAGACCACCATTTGAGTAACTACAAAGGCTTCTCTGAGGGGTAATGTTCCAGTCAACACTGGAAAGTTGAGAAAAACCAGCTATGGGAACAAAAGAGATTTTATACGCAGACTTCTGGGCTGAAGTAGTGTGGAAGGTTAGGGACCCCTGCTAACCTGGGGAAGGTCACTGAGGGGTTAAGAGAAGTGTTGGTAGGAACAGAAAAGACAGAAACAGGGTTGGGGAATGATTCGAGGTATAATCCATAAGGATTCGTTGTTGTTGGCAGTGATAACTTTGTTTTGAGATAGGGTCTTACGTAGCTCAGGCTAACCTCAACTTGCTAGGTAGCCAAGGATGACCTTAACCTTCTGATCCATCCTCCTGCCTTCATCTCCCAGCACCTGGAAGCGTTATATACCAGATATCAGAGGCTAGCGATCAGACACCATGCTTCCTGATTGGGAGGCAAGCCCCATACCAACTGGGTTCCATCCTGGCCCCTCACTAGGTTTTAAGAGCGAATGCGTGCATGCAAAGCTTAGGGGACAATGGATGGTAATCCTGAGATAGGGATCCCAGGGAGATGGAGAATGTGGGGGAAGTTGGAAAGCCAAGCCTCATGTGAGGAAGAGAATGCTTGTTTTGGAGTTGGATATGCCGAATGTTTGGTTCTGGTAGGCCACCTAGAAAGAGCTGGGATGTAGATCTAACAGAGAGAGGAGCAAGAAGAACCTTAAGGATGCCTTTGCCTTAGCTGTCCCCCTTCCTTCCTTTCCTGTCTTTTTTTTTTCTAGACAGGGTTTCTCTGGGTACCCCTGACTGTCCTGGAACTCACTCTGTAGACCAGCCTGGCCTCGAGCTCAGAGATCCCCCTGCCTCTGCCTCCTGAGTGCTGGGATTAAATGCGTGCACCAGCAGTCTTCAGAGGCTCTACTCATGGTTCTTCAGCTGTCTTCTTCCCTTCTGGGACCTGGGAAAGTGGAGGCTCGGCTGTAGTTCTCTTCCTTTGGCTTTGAGTTTCCACTGCTCCCTAGGAGGACAGTTGGCGGACTCCGGCTTCTTAGCCTTTTCTGCATGCCACTAGCCACTAGGCTGGGTGTGCAATCCTGCATTCTTCCAGCTCCCAGCTCCTGCTGATATATAGGCAGGAGCATGTTGGAAGAAGGTTATGTCTGTCAGAGGGGCACTGACTTCTGATGGTGTTACTCAAGGTGAATGTTGGAGACACAGTCGCGATGCTGCCCAAGTCCCGGAGAGCCCTAACCATCCAGGAGATAGCTGCGCTGGCCAGATCGTCCCTGCATGGTATGCACCCCATGTCTGTTCATCTGCCCACTTTGTCCTTCCTTGTTTCTTTTCCTCATGTCTTGTGGAACTGATTCCTATGTGACTATTTCCTGAGGGCATTTTGGGGGGATTTCTTTTTGCAGATCAATCCTGCCCAGCTGGGCAGTGATGGCGCACACCTTTAATCCCAGCACTTGCAGAGGCAGGCAGATCTGAGTTTGAGGCCAGCCTGGCCTACAGAGCGAGTTCCAGAACAGCTAGGGCTACACAAAGAAACCTTGTCTCAAAGAACCAAAGAGAGAGAGAGACAGAGATTCTTTGGTGTTGGAGAGATGGCTCAGTGGTTAAGAGCACTGACTGTTCTTGCAGAGGACTTGGGTTCAGTTCCCAGCTCCCACATGGCAGCTCTGTAACTCCAGGATCCACCACCCGCACACAGATATACATGTAGGCAAAACACCAGTACACATAAAATTAAAATAATTTTAAAACATCAATCCTAGCCCTTCTTCCTACCCAAGGACATGGAAAGACATTCTAAGCCTCCTCACCTACTTCCCTGCAAGCTATTCCCTAGTCTTAACTCAACTTCTCTTTTTCCACCTCCAGGTATTTCCCAGGTGGTGAAGGACCACGTGACCAAGCCCACAGCCATGGCCCAGGGCCGCGTGGCTCACCTCATCGAATGGAAGGGCTGGAGCAAGCCCAGTGACTCACCTGCAGCTCTGGAATCAGCCTTTTCCTCCTATTCAGACCTCAGCGATGGTGAACAAGAGGCTCGCTTTGCAGCAGGTGGGTAGCAGAAAGGGAACTAGTCCTGCAGATTTGCCTTAGGGGCTGCTGCCTCCGTCACTGGAGCTGGCACAGGGGCTGGAATCACATGCCTCCCTCTGCCCAGAGACCTCAGGGACATCTTCTGTGTGCAAAGCAAGCCCCAGTCTTAGCTCGGCTCCCATGCCAGTGAATGCTGTCTCTCTGGTAGGAGTGGCCGAGCAGTTTGCTATTGCAGAAGCTAAGCTCCGAGCGTGGTCTTCTGTGGACGGCGATGACTCCACCGATGACTCCTATGACGAGGACTTCACTGGGGGAACTGACTCAGGTGAGGAACGTTCTGTGTGCTGTGCTGCCACGGGGGTGGGCTCACCTGGGAGGTGTGGGGATGCACTCTGAGCCTCCTAGGGCACCGCAAGCCTTCCAGATAGGAAACAGACTACCTAGGTTGACCTTGAAACCCCAAGGACAAAGATCACTGGCTGCCGGTGGGAAACCAGCAGTTGGAAACGGAACGGCTCTTTTCTATGGGTGCTGAACCAGCTTTCTTCTCTCCCTGTGTGTAGTGGGTCTTACAGTTCTCAGATTAAAGAAACAAGCCCAGAGCACCTAGGACGTCTTTCCTCCCCCCCTAGTACAGCCATGCTTCCAGAAGGATCTGTGGTATCCTTGCCTTTACCTCTTTGAGGGTGGCTTTGGTTGGCTGTGGCAGGACGGATGAATACAGTACCCACACCTCCCAGGGCAGTGATCCCAAGCAAACAGGAAGGCATGCTGGGTCTGGAGTCCGCAGGATTCTGGCTTCAGCTCAGCATCTTTGTATTCCAGCGTGTGGGTCTTGCTTTGGGCCAGTGCTTGCAACCCTGGGGGCTGTGCAGCTGTGCTCAGCTCTGCTTTCATCTTCCATCCCCTGGACTCTGTGGCTAGCTTTCCCTGCAGCTTCTGCTGTCTGGCTTCACAGGACCCCTGCCCCCAACCCCCAACCCTTTGCCTTTGAAGATCACCTATTGGTTCCTCCTCCTCCAGCTAATTAACAAGGTTTTCAAGGCCAAACCTTCATTTAAAGCAGTCAAGAAGCTGTGCTGTGGTCCAGAGGGGACTCATTTGAATGCTTAAGGCCAAGGTGGAACCCCCAACCACAAGTATTTTCTGATTCCTTTTTTTTTTTTTTTTTTTGTCTGTTTTTGAATCTTGTTTTCTGGGAAAATTTTTGAGAAAGGGCCTCGCTATAGCTCAGGCTACTTATAATGTAGCCCAGGCTAACCTTGAAAGTATGTGTGGAATCTTTGAGCAGATTTTTTGTTTTCAAGACAGGGTTTCTCTGTAGCTTTGGGGCCTGTCCTGGCTGGTCTCGAACTCACAGAGATCCGCCCGCCTCTTTGCTGGGATTAAAGGCATGCGCCACCACTGCCTGGTTTGTGCAGAGCTTTTCTGGTGGACATAATCCCATACTTGGGATGCCCTATGTGAGCAGAGCACAGGTCAAGCGGTCTTCACTGTTTGAGTAATGAGCACCTGGTGTGATCATACAGTGGGCCTGCATCTAGTGCTCGCCTCTGTGCAAACTCTTGTTTTAGGACTATAAAGTAAATATTATTAGAATTTCTAATCTACCATGAAAGGAACTAAGGCGTCAAAAATGAAGACCTTGTTCAGGTTATGCAGCTCCTACTGACGCCTCTGTTGACCCCTTGCCCCCACAGTTACGATAAGGGTGGAAGGGGCTGGGAAGTCTGTGGTGGTCATGTGGCTTCCATATTGACCATCTGAAATGAGGTCAGCAAAGCTGTCTCTTTTTTCTTCCCTTCACAGACATTGCTGGGTCTTTGGGGCCCCACCTCCAGGACCTCTTCACAGGTCGTCGGTTCTCCCGGCCCGTGCGCCAGGGCTCTGTGGAGCCTGAGAGCGACTGTTCCCAGACCGTGTCCCCAGATACCCTGTGCTCTAGTCTGTGCAGCCTGGAGGATGGCTTGCTGGGCTCCCCAGCCAGGATGACCTCTCAAATGTTGGGTGAAGAGCTGCTCCTTGCCAGACTGCCCCCCAGCCGGGAAAGTGCCTTCCGCAGCCTGGGCCCTTTGGAGGCCCAGGACTCACTTTACAGTTCACCGCTCACGGAATCCTGCCTTTCCCCTACCGACGAGGAGGAGCCTGATTCGTGCAAGGACTGCCAGCTGCTCTGCCCGCTGCCTGGCGGCAGCTGGGAAAGGCAGCAGCAAGTCTCTGATGTGGCCTCTTCTGGGGTCGTATCCTTAGATGAGGATGAGGTGGAGCCCGAGGACCAGTGATCCAGATATGCCCGGTGGTGGCATGTTTTCCCTGGCTGCTGCCCGGGGCAGAGCCTCTGCGGCCAAAGTGTGGGCTCTGGAGCTCCGAGGGCTTCTGGGAGCGCTCACTTCTCCATTGTGTGTTTTGCATGAAAGTGTTTGGAGAGGAGGCAGAGGCCAGGCTAGGGGCGCATGTACTGCTTCCACTCTTGGGGGTTTGCCGGGGCTTGCCCGGGACCCCTGGGGCATGGCTACAGCTGTGGCAGACAGTGACGTTCATGTTTCTTGAATCCAAAATGCCACATTTCCTCCTGGGATGTGAACCTGCGCTGGGAGGGTGGGAATGGAGGAAGCCTGGCCATCTCCTCCACCCTTCCTCGTGCCCCTTCTCCTCCGCTTCTCTCTTCACCCAAGTCCACGTGCAGTGCTTGACTGAACCGCCTCCCCCTGTGGGGCTGGCTCGTGGCCTCCTGGAGTCTACGGATTGAGCCATCCCCTAAGGGTCCCCTTACCCACCTGGGCCCCGCTGTGCTTCACCTTGCCATTGTCTCTAAACCTTTTTTTTTCTTAAAGACAGGGGGTTTCTGGTCTGTTCTTTGAGCCGATCTTCTCTGGGAGGCACTGGAATGATGAAAGGGTGTGTCCTCCCCCTCTCCTCGGCCCCTCCCTCCCCTCAGCCCTGACCCTCTCCCAGCATGGCAAGGTCCTATGGGCACAGAGTTCTCAGTAGGGTGGAACTGGACAAAGGAATGGGTCTGGCTGTTAGAGCTGGGAGTGCCACAAGGGGGCCACCTGGGTAGCCAGGAGATCTGTGCCAATGAATGGACAGTCATGAGGGAGTGGCTATCCTTGGGAAAGAGGGCAGTGGTTTTTCTTGGCTGAATGGAAGGTTGTAGCCACAGGGTTAGGGGCCTGATCCAGGCAGGGTGTTGCAGATGAGGCAGCAGGGGGCCGCTGGCAGATCCTATATTGCTGGGACGCTGGGGTTGATAGGTGGCTGTGGACTGAAGTCTCAGGCTTGGGCAGGTAAGAGGATCCAAGAGGAAAACATGAGCCAACAGCACAAGTGTTCTATACATGAGTGGCTAATTAGGTGTTTACTTTATTCTATTTATTGTTTTATTAAATTAATATAAAAATCTTTGTAAATTTCTATATACATCTTGTCATTGGAGGTTCCAGTATAAACCCATTTTAGTTCTGCCCCTTTCTCAAAGAGTGGGCAAGGGCCACAGGACCCCACCTCATCCTGCCAGGGCATAGCTGATCCTCTAGCAGGTAGGTGTTGAGTTACATTCCAGGTAGGCCCGCCAGGAGATGGAGGAGCTGGCAGCCCACAGCTAGAGTGGACTTGGGTTCCAGCTTCTGGTTGCTGCTGCTTGCAGAAGGAATATAGGCCATCCAGTGAGGGGTCACTGGCACTTGTCATCACTGTCAGAAGGGCTGCCCTCTCGTGGGAGGCCATGGCAGGATAGCGGTCCCCAGAGCGCATGCACTTCAGTGGTCTCTGTGTCGCTGCTGCTGGTGGCACTGTCCCGGAAACTGGCAAGGGGTGGCCTGACTTTTACACCCTGTGCTGTGACAGAGCCCTCAATAGCCTTCCGGAGCTGGAAAGGTAAGAGTCAGGTGTCTGTTCCCTGCTGAGACCCCTCCCCAGGACTTCCCCCCCAGCGGGGGCAGACATTTAGAAGTGGAAGTAGCTTTGGTCCTTTCACCTCACCTCCTTGAGGGTCACAATTCCAATGAGTCTGCCAATGCTGGTGACATAAGCGTGGTCCACGCCCAGCAGTGAGAAGATGGTATGGGTCTGCAGAGCAGGGAGAGGGGACACTGTACTTGATATTCAAAGCGGCAGCTCAGAAACACAGTCAGAGGGGATCAGGGCAAAATGAGGGGAGGGTGTGGAAGAGAAGGGGTGCAGTAGTGGGAGGCACTGCCGGAGGGAAATGCCATGGGAATGTTCCAAGCCGTGAGATGTGACCACCTTTATATTATCAGCAGTTCCCATTTGCTGTTTCGAAAACAGCTCTCAGCATTTCCTGGAATTTGTTATCTTCTGTTCTGGGTGTACTTGGGAGCCTCTTGGCCTAACAGGTGAATCAAGAGGGGCAGCACCAACAGCTTCCCGAACACCTAATGTCTCACGTCTTAAATACTGTCTTATATAAAATGATGGGAAGGGGCTTACGGAAATTTCCCAATTTCCCCCACCTGGGGCATGACCATACTTATAAAGAAGCAAGGGTCTCAGTGTTTGGTTCTGAGATCAAAGCCAGAGTATCATCCATGCTGGGTAAATTGTCTACCCGCTGAGCTGTAGCTCCAGTAGAATTCGGATTTGTTTCTTTTTGAAGGTCTCACTGCTTAGCCCAGGCTAGCCTTGAACTCATAGTACTGCTCCTGCCTCAGCCTCCTAAGTATTAGGTTTAGGTGTTTATTAGTATTAGTATTAGGTGTGTGCCATCATAGTGTTACATCTTAGATATTCAGTTTTCTGGTGGTGCATGCCTTTAATCCCAGTACTCAGGAGGCAGAGGCAGGTAGCTCTTTGAGTTCAAGGCCAGCCTGGTCTACAGAGCCAGTTTCGGGAACCATGGCTGCACAGAGAAATGCTGTCTCGAAAAACAAACAAAAAAGAGAGACCCCATCTTTTGAAGTCATATTTCTTCAATGTCATGTAGTTAGCAATCTTGTTATATAACTTGAACCCTACATGCTACAGATGAGCCTTAATTTCCCTGTCTTCCCCAGGGGAAACATCTTTACCATAAGGTATGGTTAAATAATCCATCTCACCTTCTCCCGAGGAGCCCATTAAACAGTTCCCGGGACGTTCTTTTCCTGCTCGTTCCCAACCACAGCGACCTAGCAGGCAATGTGCTTTTATGGGCCTGCGAACAACCTGTGCCTAGCGATTGCCAAGCTTACCGCTCTACTTCTGGGACATCTGTGCCATTCTCCCTAGTTCTGCTCCAGATCCGCACCGTCACCAGGGCTGAGACAACAGCAGAATGAGTTTTCCTACTTCCTGCCTCCCCGCTCCAGCTGGACTCTGACATTCTATGGCTTTCTAAAACTTGAGCGGCACCTGGTACTCCCTAGAATGGCCCATGAGATCCCTTAAGTCAGCCCAGACTGGCCTGCCAGCTTACCATCCTGCTATGCCTAGCTTCCAGGCTTTACTTTTCACTTTTCATTCATTCATTCATTCATTCATTCATTCATGTCTTTCAAGACAGCTTGTAACAGCTCTGGCTGTCCTGGAACTTGTTCTGTAGACCAGGATGGCCTTGAACTCACAGAGATCTGCCTGCCTCTGCCTCCTGAGTGCTGGAAGTCAAGGCATGTACCACCACTGCCCTTCCAACTTTTCTTTTCTGAAGTAAGGTAAACTTGCTGTGTAGTTCACAAAAGACTCTGATCGTCTGCTCCTCTACCTCCTCAGTGCTAACATTACAGGCAGATGCCACCACACTCAGCTTGTGCCACCCCTACTCTATAGATAAGCAAACAGAAAGGCTAAGCAACTTGCTCAACTTCTGCAGCTGAACTTAGACGCAGCAGGGAGGGAGGATTTGGGTTGCCAGTCTTGCCGTCACCTTGGCACTCTGGCCTCATTGCTACCCACTGTAGCTAGCTGCACTGCGAGCTTCCTCAATAGTCTCATGGGTTCACGTCCTCTCAGAGTATCCCTCCTCAATTTAAGTGGGTTACTGCTTACTGCTTTGTTAATAAGTAGATTCTCATTTAGAATCTAATCTCTAGAATTCTAATCTTTTATGTTATTCCAGTTCTTTGTACTTTTGTTAGTGGTTCCTCGGCGGCTTCTTCCCTTCCTGAGATAGCTGAAGTTTGTAACAAACACCTACTTTGTTCTTTTTCATTTTAATTCAATTGGACACCATGGAGCCCATTGGAGGGCCCAAATTTCTTGGGCCTGGGAACAGTGAACTACACTGACAGGGAAAAGGATAACATGGCCTTCTGAAAGAATTCTGAGAGCAGGGCCGGAACTGGGCCCTGGCTTCCTTTCCCCGTTTTAGACTGGTTAAGACAGGCTCTCGGGCCGGATTATCTCTGGGTCCAGGCCCAACTTTGTTACTTCCTTGATGTGCCCATTTGGGCAATTTCGACGTCTATAAAAACTGGAATGTCATAATACCTATCGGCTAGTATGGTTGCGAGAACTATAAATTAGACGGGTGAAGCTTGGCGTGGTGCCTGGCACACAGCAAGCACTCAAGCATGCCAGTGTTCTTATCACCACCATTATGTATGACAGAAAATCAAGGGGATCACTGCTGGGTATGATGGTGTGTGCCTGAAATCTCCAGGGAGACCAAGGCAGGCAGACTGTTGTGAGTTCGAGGCCTACTTGGGTTATATGAGATCCTGTGTCAAGAAAGGAAAAAGAAGAAGATGGCTGACGATTGGGAAACTGTGGCGATCTTGGGAAGAAAGGCTGTGAAGTACAGCTTGGACTGTCTTCTGGCCTAGCCCCTTTTCCTCTGCGAAAGCTCTGCAGTTCCTCGAAGTTTCTTTATTTTTGCTCTTTTGTCTCCTAGCCTACCCGTCAGGGCCTCAGCTATGTACTATGCTGACGTTTTAGCAACAGTTACAGTTGAAGCCTTGAGACCACTGACCCACCCCTGTCACTTTTGTCCCTTGCTCCAGTGTGTACACCGCCTACCTCCAACGCTCTGTACTTCTTCCTCTTCCCGCTGCCCCCTCTGCGGAGCTGTCTTTCTGAGGCTCCTCTACCAGTTTTTCTTTGACCTGCTTGAAGCTGACTCTCTGGGGTCTGACATTCCAAGCCCCCTACTGGCGTCTCTCCTCTTTGTTTATCTCTTTGCTGCAGTCACCTCACCCTTCTTCACTGGTTCTTAGCCTGTTTATTAGATTTTCTTATCTGGCCTGTTTCTCACTCCCCCTGCCCCCCTTTTTTTCCAGCGTGGGTGTGTATCAGCCTTGTTGGGCTCTGGCAGCCTCCTGCCTAGCTCTGACCCTGGTTTGGCCTTCTGGCTTCCACCCAGTTCAAGCTGTGTCTTTGTAGTTGCTTTGGTCCAGAGTTCCCAGGGGTAAGACTGAGCGGAGGAGAAACGATGCCTGGCTCCACCAAGGAGTAAGGACAGGACAAGGCTGAGAAGTCCTGGCTCCCAGGCTCCCATGGCCTAGAGCAGTATGTTCTAAAAAACGGCATCAAATATACTGTCCCTCATGCCTTCCTCGGACACCATCACCTGGGTCTGAGTCCAAACCTACCCTGTCCTACCTTGTGCAAAGAAGTCCGCTCCACTAGCTGGAAGGGCGCAGGATCAATTTTGCAGTCGCTGAAGTTGACAGGCTCATCTAGTTGCTGTTCTTCCCACTCTAAGATCTGACAGCGAGAGACCGATGATCAGGGAGAGGGAGCTCCTCTCAGCTCTCTGAAGGCTGGTTTGCCCCCTTTCCCCCCTGTGATTGACAACACACCCAGGAAGAAGCGGTCTAGAGTCTATAGCGGCATCTCACCTCCTGAGGACTCATCTCGCCTTCCAGGTCGGAGTCACTCTAGGAGAAGGGAGG